GTACAAAGACGATTACTTTCGTTTTGTTATAAATCTAACTACTAGTATGCTAAGATACAATCATTTCAAAATGGCTGCCATTGTATTTCCTGGTAATGTGCAAACAATTCATAAAAGTTATGAACACGATTCTCACAATCAGCTCAAATTTTAAGTAGCTGATATAATAATGTTATGTCTTATGAGACACCATACATGATGTGAAATGGAATCCTGTATCTTATAATATACAGTGAGTCATAAGGGTTGGAGCTACATCACAAGATGTTCCATGTTGCTAAGACGTGCACCATTTATTTCTGTGGGCTCTGTGCAAGCTGCTGTGTAACGCTGGTCGAAGAGCCGGTGAAAATAGCTAAATTCAAGAAAACAACACAAATTCAACTTTGAAGTAATCATGAACAGTCAAATTTATATATGCTGCACACGCAGGTGTAATCTTGTTACACTGTTCAGGGGAGTCTCAACAACCATCTCAAAGTACTGTTTTCTGAGTGTTTTCAGCATTTGTTTTCACCGTGATGGTTGCCAGGCGGTGAAAATGCCTGAACGTCCGCCCCCGAGAATATACATGTATATTGTAAAACTCAGGAAGCCATCGCTGAAGCTTCTTGCAAAATTGAACAAAACAGTCAACATATTTACAGTGTGTACTGCAGCCATCTTTACGTCTTTTAAGACACAGTCTGTTTTACCTACCTGTGTTTTAGATTCAAATGTCTATAGGTTTCTGTATATGTCACAGCACACAGTCTCACTTGTATTGCGTGGTGGTATGGGATGGTATTTGTGCGTCATTTCTAGACCTTTGCCCAGTACCTTGCTGTAATCTGTTGGCACAGTGCCAACTATTATCTAATTGTTATAGATATTTATTTTGTCAAATTATTTTAGCATTTTTTATTTTGCCATTAGGCCACACTGATTTAATTTTATGGATGACATCCTCTGGAGACCCCAAAACTAATGCGAGAGGGCGAAAAAAAAAAAATCCTGCCAAAAAAAAAAAAAATGATGCTGAAACCACAGGACTACGGAGCTGGTATTACGAATTGAACCACAGAACACAGTGTGTCAAAAAAAAACGACAAGAATTCTTTATTTGTAGGAGGCACATGTTGATGTACACATCTCGTACTGTATTACTGTCACAGGTATCATCACCTTTGATTTTGAAAAGGCAAGAGAATAAGGCAGATGTTACCTTTGCCAAAGGCATACACATCAACTCAATAATAAAGAAAAACTTGCTGTGTTGTATTGAAATCAAAAAATTGAATTTATAATGAACAATGAGTTTGTCAACAGCAACCTGGAAATTAACTTCTTTGACATTCAAACTACAGCTTTTAAAGTGATACTTCAACTATGTAACAAATTATAAGAGGCTCAATATTGAAAAAAAACACCAACAGAGAGTCAACAAAAATTTGAATGCAGAAAATTATGCACATGTGTCTTGATGAAAATTCGTCATATGATCAAAATATTACTGACTGTGTGTGCAAGCAAATTATCCAAATCAGAAAATGAAAAAACATAATAAGAAACGCGGGACAGCCACTCTGGACAATATGTCCTCAAAGTTGTCTGGGCGAAACTCGCTTGCCACTACCATTCTCTCGTATAGCTGTGTAAACGTGGTCGCCATGGTGGAATTCCCGGCAACGCAATAAGCATGTGCAGAAGATCATTTACGACAAAATTGGCATGTTTTGAGGCGAACTTTGCACAGTTCGATACACGCTATTTATCATCAGTGCCATTACTGCACAAAGCAGATTTGCATAGAAGTCATTTGCATATTTGAATATGTTCGAACTACAAGACCTTGGCAGTTAACAAAGTTATGCGAAAGTCACTTCGTTATTTTAATCACTTTAATAAGACGTTTCACGCCCTGAATCCGAATAAAATGTTTAGTAATCAAAATACAATATACAAGACTTGCTTTAGAAAATGCAATCCTTTCCTAGATGCCAAAGCATTAGTTTGTACAATCAATGACTAAGTTTATGAACTTACTAGAACCTTTGTGTTTTATGACTGTTAGATGCGGAAAATTGAACCCGTTCAAGCCAGAAATAATATTAAAATATTCACAAGATGAATGGAAATGTTAGGAAACCCCTTTCAGTGAAATTAGTTTTTAATGTTTCTTTCCCAACTATATTCGTTAACAGTACGTTTCTTTCCTTCAAGTTTTAGTGTATCATGTGCACCATTCCACTACTATAACATTACCTTGCAAAACATAGTCTGCAATAAAATGGTTCGTATTTACTGAAGTCTGACATTAATAAATAGTTCGGATGTCACATATGTTTTTTTTCCCACTTTTTGTAGTACATTTTCAGATGTAACAGCTACAGAAAAATGGCCGTGCGTAGTGAGGTGATTGAGCACAAAATTGTAGGCTGCCTGTGGCAGAAGCACTATTGTGTAAAGCGCAAAGGCCTCTGGGAAGGAGATTGGTTTTGAGGTTGTCCAAAACGAGTTTTACGACAAGCCAGCGCTTTGCGACAATATGAGTCGGCAAGTTCCGGACAGAAAACCGATCTGTGGAGACTCGTCGTCGGAGATTTTTTGAGAACAGGCGAAAACTAATGCGCGCGCGGATCACATCCATAAAATTAAGTCGGTATCGCCTTACTGGGTATTTATTTTAGCATTATTTATTTAGTATTTTTCACTGTTTTTTTTTTTTTTTTCAGAGATCATAGTGATGTGTTTACTAAATACCTAGCTGACAAATCAGAAGACAAGTTCGGAAATCATTGAAAAGTTTATAATATTTCTACAGACATCAATGAAATCAACACCAGATATTGTTCATTATTCTCTGCCAATATTGTATAGAGGATTCCTTGCATCACAGAAGTGAGTGTGTATATTATTATTGTCTCAACAAACTGAGAAATAGAATTATGTTTTAAGTCACAATGATTATTTGTTGTCCCTTACAATGTTGTTTCAAAATTGTTCATAAAACAGATGGTTATTTTATGTTGGACCATGAATTCCTACCAGATATTTTTATTCTAAATTATAAAATTTGTCATGTGTTCTTTATCTTTTGTTTTTACAGACCATCCACTACAACAGAGTTCTCTATGTTCTGTAAACTATGCAGTGTGATTGGTGTGATTTCACAATCACCAGACTGTCCAGAGAAACCAGATGTGCCATGGCAACCAGTGTTAGATTCATTACAGATACTCTTGGAGACCAGGTTGACCCTTGACCTCTACAATACCACCTCTGATAACAGTACTGGTTTAGTGCAGTATACATGGTATCAAAATCTGTTATCGTTATTACTCAGTTTTCCACAAAGGTAAGTTTGACCCTTGACCTCTACAACACCTTCTCTGATGACAAAGGTATTTAATGAAAAAAACAGTTTCTTGTGACATTTAAAATAAAGATAAAAAAAACAATTTGATTTGGGAAAACAAATTTTTTGCTATGCCTTTATGTCAATTTGAAGTGCTATTCCAGCATAAACCAGGTCAGGTCAAACAAGCAATTATAGACCTTACCCAAAGTCACATCCATTAATAAATGGGACTGTAGCACACTAATGTTGTACTTCATCTCTAGGTGGGATTTTAAATCATGGTCCGTGCCAGTAACAATAATTTTTGTCGTTGGCATGTCTTCATTGTATCAATATAATAAAATTACTCACTTCTTTACTGTTTTTGTCACTTTGCAGTCATCTACTGTCTTGGTTTGGATGTATTCATGTACTACTGAAAAAGAATCACCTTATACTGGATAAGAACTTGGTAATGGTTTGTAGGAAAGTGTGGATTGAGGTCGACTGTGATGACAAAGACTTAAACACCACACAGTATGCATTACTATGTGACTTAATGGAGACATATACCAAACTACGACAGGTGAGTTGTACTATGAAGATTCATCAAGGCGTTCTATTTATTCTCTATAATCTCATCTTCCTTCTCAATTATATAATAACATCAGTTGTCATCTGAATATATCATGATATGCAGATGATTAAATGTTTTAGTTACGCACATCGAGTTATTCACATTGAGTTCAAAAATATCCTTATTCATAAATTTTACAAACATGCCCACTTTTGCAATACCATTTTGTTTGTTTATCATTCACATTTAGTAACTCAAATTTTAATTAAAGTTAAATGAACTTTGAGTTATGAGAACTATATTTTTGTTGTTGAGACATACTCGATTTTGATGTGCTTGTTTGTTTCAAATTTTGGCTTTCGTCATTTTTGTAACTCAGTGTTTTCATAACTTGATGTTTGTAACTTTAACAAT